ATCGAAGCTAATCCAAAATCAACTAGCAATCTTCCTCGAAATGCCGTTCTTCAAAGACAACTCAAGAAGTTCAAAGACTAACATAAAGGATCGCAGCATTAAACCGATTCATTTCCCAATCCACCACCAATTCCCTCCCCCTTTACCAACTCCTAAAAGCAAACAAAAAATTCCAATGAAATGATAAATACAAGGAAGCATTAAAACAGCTCAAAGCTTACTTAAACGAACACTCATACTCTCCAAACCAGTAAAAGGAGAACCGCTATTCCTCTACCTCGCAGTCTCACCTACCGCTGTCAGTGGCGTACTGGTTTGAGAAGAACAAAGCGATCAGAAACCCATCTATTACGTGAGCAAAAATTTAATAGATGCAGACACAAGATACTCAGCTATGGAAAAGCTAGCACTAGCATTGATCATATCGGTGCAAAAATTTAGACCATATTTTCAATCCCACTCAATCACCGTCATGACCTCACAATCCTTGCGAACCATACTACATAGTCCAAGACAATTATAATGACTGACCAAGTGGACAATCGAGCTGAGCAAATACGATAATGAATATTGACCTCAGACCTGTGCAAAAAGCACAAGTCCTAGCGGACTTTATCATCGAATTAGCACTGCAAACTCGAGACGACATAATTCTAAACCAAAAAAGGGCGCTCCTCGTAGACGGAACATCCTCCAAGAAATGATTCTAAGTAGGAATCAGACTACGCTCACCTACCAGAGAAATCTTAGAACAATAATTTGATTTGGATTCGATGCCTCCAATAACAAAGCCGAGTATGAAGCACTTATTGCCGGGCTACAATTCGCAATAGGAATCGGAGCTCACAAAGTTAACGCCTATAGCGATTTACAGCTCATAACAGGTCAGTTCCCCAGAGCGTACGAAATGAAACAAGAACGCATGGAAGCTTACCTTCAAGTAATCCGCGGTTTAAACGGCTTGACAAATTCAAGCTAACACGATTCCCGCGAGGAGAGAACACCTCAGCCGTCGCTTTTGCATCCCTAGCTTTTATCTCGGATCCGCTCCTAGAAAGAGTCATACCGGTTGAATGAATATTTATCGAAATGCTGTCACCAAAGAGTGAAAAGTGAAAGTGAGAAGAGTATTTATAGAAAGAGTGAAAAAGTCAAAAAGTGGCTCATCTTTTAACCTAAAAATGCATTAGAAACTATGTCTGAAGAATTTGCAATTCAAAACATTATAATTTCTGCAAAAAAATACAGGATCTGTCATCAAAACCAAGCCCCGACATGTGCTGGACCAACAAATTTTGAAGAATCCATCAATTTCAGAACAATTTCTTTCACTTAACGGACTAGGAGGACTTTTTGTTGGTACTGGGACCAAAAACTCATTAGATTAGCTCGGCCCATATACAATATTAGGTCCAAAGATGAAGAAAGCCCATCCAACACATATATATGCTGGTCAACTGGAGGAGGCCGATCCGACCTAGAGAAAAGGCCGACCCGGCCTATTTGCGATGGACGACCCGGCCGACTTGCGATGAAAACCCATTAGGCTCAACCATTCCACCGCCTGAAAGTACTACAAATAGCATAATATCTTGATGTGACAAGACATCTTTTTATTTCCTGTACGGATTATGAGACCCTTGATTTCTATACTCGACAAGTTCTTCTTTTAAGGTCGGCCTCCTCTGGTAGTCCACTCGACGCCGTTCACTCAATCCTCTTTTACTTCACACTTAAAATAATTTTGTTTGTTGATAGTCTCCCTTTGTATTTATCGATTACGATTAAATTTGACTAATAAGAAAATTCTCGAATTCACTCATATTCATCTATACACTTAACCTGAATTCTAGTATCAACAAAAGGATCAAAAAATCCAAAGAAAATTAAAATTGGGATGATGACTATAGACCAATTGCGCAAAAATTGCAGCAAATAAACTTCTTGATTGGAATTGCACAAGCATTGTATTCGCAATGACAGGAACTGCAGGTAACATGGGGATAGACATTGACCCTCCTGTTCTTGATCCCCCAAAAGAAACCAGCTTGAATTTGTTTGTAAAAGACTTAGTCTTTTTTTGAGCTTGATAATGCCTTGTTGAAATTGATCCATCTCTAATACGTAATTGGTAAATCTTAATCGTCTTGTTGTAATAACACTTTGAGGCGAATTAACATATTCTGATTATGACAATGTACGCCCTTATTTTGCTCTCCTTAGTTAACATGACATTTCTTAAATATTTCGTCATAAAATAAATAATAATAATTCTGTTGTGAATCACAAATACAGATTTTGAAAAATAAAAATGTTCGGCGTTCCTTTTCTAATAAAAGAAACTAGATAGATAATATGTGCCTTACATAGGGTGAAAATTCTATAAATAATTTTACTAAATATAATTTAAAAACTTTTTAAAGGACAATAACTTAATTAATATTATATGTAAATTAATAATATATATGAGTAACAACAAAATTTGTTTATTTTTTAATATTTTTATATAAATATAAAGTGCATAGTTAAACTAAACTGCAAAAATTACGCTCATAAAAATATTAATATTTTAAAAATACAAATTATTGTAAATTTTATTTTAAAATATTAAATACATATAGAAGATATATAGAAATAGATTATATATTTTAAGTTTAATATTTTTGATAAATGATATAAAATTATATATAGCTGAATCAACATTTATAAACTCTTAAGTTTTTAATCAAATAAAAATATTTAAATAATTAAAAAAATTAACTAAATTATAATATAATATCCTAAAAAATAATATTTTAACTTTTTTACCAAGTTATTTTTTATTAAAATAAAAATTTATAATACTTAGATTTTTCAAAATAATATATTTTAAATATTTTGACTGTTTGATATATGATTTTTTTTTAATTTTTATTATGCTTTAATATTAATATTATTTAGCTCAACATCATATCATTTGATTCACCATTATATTATTTGGTTTATTTATATAGTTTTATTGAAAAAAATTAATTAAACTAAAAATTACTTATAAATATGGATGCCGATTAAATAAATTTCTCTGTATATATATATATATTGTCATTTATATTCTTTTATAGCAATTTCTGAATCATCTAGACTTAATTATTTAAAATGTGTGACTTTTTAAACATATTTATTTGAGCAATTTATATTCATTTTTAAAAATTCTAATTATAACTCATGTACAAAATACTCTATATATTTTTTATTATATAGATGATGTGATAGTTTATTTATTTTTTAAAAATAATATAAAAATATATATTATTTAAAGAAATAATTGATATGATATATTTTTGGTAAGAACTAGAAAGAAAACTAATATCTTCATTAATAAAAATTTTGATTACATATTAATAATTTATATAAACTATTGATCAACCAAATTATTGTAAATGGCGTATTATGTAGTTATTCTAGTAATATAAGTTTTTTTTAAAGTGTGATGAGAATGAATATGTTGATAACACATTAGCATAATGTCTCCATTGTATGAATAAAATATAAAATTAATATTATATTTTAAAAATGCTTTTCAATTAATATTTTTGAATTATATTTAAGATTTATTTACAGAAATTTTATAAATATTTATTAGAAATATGTTTCATATATTAAAAGACTTATATTATTTTTGTCTTTTGTCTTTCATATTGTATGAACTTATAATTGGAATGAAACATAAAATGGTTTCAATTAGTACGTTAAACCATTTTTATGTTATCAATTTAAAAGAAACTAATTATGATTTATTAGGAAAACAGATTTTTAAATATAATCAATTATGCTTAATTAGTAATCATCATTATTAGTTGGATAGAAATTTCTTGTTTAATTTATTTGAATACAAAAAAATACTTCTTGGTTTACCATATATGTGTGGGATCGAAATTGTTTTAGGAATTATGTTGATAAACGATTTAATAATAATTTAATTATGTTGAGAAAATGTTTCATTGCCCATTCGGTAATATGAGTTATATAAATGATTTTGAGGGGAATAATATGAATTATGTTAGTCTAGTTCGGACACATTCCATTAATACTTTTTTGTTGCTGTTGCAAACAACAGATATTTATCTTTTTTACTGAAATTAGGAATAGAAATGATGTTATATAAAACAAATTCCAATGGATCGATTTTAAGCATATCTTTTAGCTAAAATATCATGTTTCGTTAATATTTAGATTCTATTGAAGAAAATAATTTGAAAATAATTTTGAGAATTATTTATTCAACAATATATCATTTAATATTTTTTAAAAATAAATTAGATCAAAATTAACAGAAAATAATATAATTTGAGTAAAGTTATACAGTGTTATTATAAAATTTACATCATGTTTATGTTTTATTGGTTGTGTTTATTTTTTAGATTAATTTAGTTTAGTAATATATTATTTTAATACTTAAAAAATTATATTATATGTTTAGTCATAAAAATACATAATGGCACATCATATAATTAATCTAGTAATTTAAGTCTTTTTTAATAAGTATGCTGAAAAGTTTTATAGTGTTGACATATCAACAAAATGATACCAATGTATATATTAACAAAAATAAAGTTAATCTCTAAAAATGATTATCAATTAATATATGGAGATATATGAGTTATAAGTTTAATAAGTAGTGCTCGAGACTACTTATCATCTAAATCATAATTTAGATGTAAACTTCAGTTACCTAGATTTGGTTTCCTAGATTGTTTTAGGAGTATGAGACTGTTGACATAAAAAAAAAAACTACATACAATTAACGGTTGTTGCTTTTCTACCCACAATAAAAAAGTTTAAGTTACATTGTATGTAAACAACAGATCTAAAAGTGACTGTGATGGGGTTTACAAGTAATGACAATATAAATTTAGAAGTCCTTAGAATCAACTAATCCGTGGTATGAATAAGATCCTCTGGTATGTCGTATATATATATATATATATAAGATCTCTTTACTCCTACATCAACGATTATGGTCAACTTCCTCCACCTTTCGTATCTCTCCTTATAATCTCCAGCACCATCTCGTTCCACGTGTCCACCGGCCCGGGCATGCACCAGTGCAAACAGTCTTGCGGCGGAGGCTGACCGTCTGGTCCACGTTTGGTGATCTTTTTCGGGTCAGGACTCCTGTACGGACCAGGATGACCATCGTGGCGATACCCAAAAGCCTCAGTGATATCCATTAGCTTCACCTTCTTCGATCTTTCGCCGAGTTTACCATCATCCGCTGCAACAGCTCGTTGAAACCCCGTCGCTTGCTGCTCGTGCATTATCTCCGTAAACCCGTTTTTAACCAACTTCCCTGGAGAGAGAGGCTCTTCTTTACCCGTGCACGACCCACCCGTGTTCCACGCGCCGCCCTCGTAATGATCAGGCGACCAAGTCCGCAAGATGGTTAGGCCTTTGTAGTTTTGGTGATTAGATACGGCCTTTATGATTGTTTCTACAGAGATCCCAAATGCTTGAACGTTGTTGATCTTCGCCGGTTTTGATTTGTCCGGCCACCATAACTGGCCTCCGACGATCTCTTCGTTTAAAATGTAGACAGACTGTTTCGCGAACCAGTGGCCCGATGAGAGTACAACCACGTCGAATTTCGGAAGAGCCTCGATTATGCGCTCGTCGGGTTGGTCTAGCTTGAGTTTGGTTACACCTTCTGGAGCAAAACCAAACGGTTCGTTGAACTGATGGACTAGCCAAGACGACCACATACGAGCTATCATTACTTTAGATGACCTGAAATACCATCTCTGCATCTTTCGGTTCCCGCGGTTAACCGGAGTTTCTACCTGAAAAAAAGACATCATATAAACGTTAAGTCATGCAGACAGAAGAAGAAAAGAAACTCTTGAAGCAGAAAGAAGCTTGCCTGCCAAAGAAGGCACATCATGGACTCCATCTGATTACGAGCTACAGAATCGCCTATAAAAGCAAGCGTCTTGCCTCTCATTAGCTCGAGAAATTTCTTGGCATCGAACCTTGGAAGCTCACACTGAGACGGTTTCCATCTCCAGTTCTCATAGCCCTTGTCAGGTCTTCCATTGCCTTGACAGTTTTGCATCTGTGTCAGAAGTGGGCAAGAGTTGTTCGTGTACGATGGTCCCATTGGATCATAAAACCAGTTTCCATGGTACAGATCACATTCTGCAAAAATGGTCAAAAGCAATCAGTAAAAGCTTAGATCCTGAGAAGAACATTGATGAAAATTTGCTTTTTCAAAAGTCAAACAAACAGTTATATTTGCCAGAACGTTAGAAAGATTGTACATTTATCTATATAGTCCAAAAGTAATTAAGATTCCAGAATTAATAATCCTAGTGTAATTATGTCAAATACATCATTAATTAGTAGCATTGGTCTGGTTTCAATGATTTGGCTATACAAATAAGAGGCCAAGTTCTATAATCAATCCTTGAGGTTGACATTTATGCCAAGCAATTTGGATTTGAAAACTACTTAAACTATTTGAGATCATAAACCAGACTATTTGAGAAACTTAAGCTATCAGGATGTTACATAAATGAAAACTAGCTACATAAATAGAAACTAGTTCAAGATAACAACAGTACCTGCATCTACTGAATCTTGTGTAGCTTCTTCATCAATGGAAACATTTGTAGAACTTCCTGAGTTTGTTTCTTCACCTAATCTAACATCACTCGAATCCTTTGAATCATTCGAATCCTTGGAACCCTGAGAATCATTGGGATCCAAAGAAACAGGAAGCACCTTATCCTCTCTATCTTGTGTCAATGGCGGTGACTCTGAGTCTGAGATAGAATCAGGAGATGGGTTTGGATCAGAAGTATGAATATCGTCGCTACTATGGTGAAACTCCACATGTTGAGTGGTCTCAGTTCCGTAGATATACCCAGTAACAGAGGAACCAATGGGATGCGTGAAAAGAAGCAGAGAAGCGAAGATGATGAAGGAAACCAATCCACCGATGGCAAATGCAATTGAAGAAACTTTCCGAGGAAACAACACAGTCCTCGAAATTGAAGGAGAAGCCAAAGTCATGGTGATTCTGCAAACAACCTATACACAGAAGAAAACCATCGACGATTTTCATTACTGGGTTTTCCGATCATCACAACCAATTTTTTTCGATTCTACGATGAATCAGGTGGGTGAGAGATTCTATCGATCTCTTTAGTTAATTGTTCCGATCTAAGTTTGAGATCGATGGAAAGAACGAATCAAAGTAAACTTACATTTAGAAGCGAAATCCAGATGAGGAAGATCGAAGAAGCTTTGCTTGGGAGAGGAATTAATTAATTTGAGAGGATCTGGTGGGAGTTTGACAAAGAGAGATCGAGAAGCGTGGAAAGAAGAAGAAGAACACTTTGTTTCTATATTATATTTATATTTCGAAATTTTAGCAAGTATTGGAAGTCGAATTTACTAGTCTATGTATATTCTATGGAGAAAGAGATAATACTTGTATATTAAGATTGTGAGCATTAGTGACACAAAGATATTATACGAGTGATTACAAAGATTAAGGAGAGAGATTTGATTGATATTCTTTCCTTTAATATGCTTTCTCAAGATGGGCTTTAGAAACTCCAATCTTGGAAAAGAGAGTAGTGAATGGAGCTCGAGATAAGGGTTTTGTTAATGCATCTGCCAACTAACCTTTTGATGAGGCATGAACAATTTGTAATGTATCCAATGTAATCTGATTTCCATAAAGTGGTAGTCCAGGGTGAGGTGTTTCATTTGAGAGTGGGATATCGGATTGGCACATAAATAAGTTATCCCCACATTATCATAATATATAACCGGAGGCGAAGAGATGGAAATATCGAGCTCAATGAGTAAAGAACTGATCCAATGTATCTCAGCAGAAGTGTTTGCAACTGATCTATATTCAGCTTCTGTTAGAGTGTCCATAAACTGGAAAAGCCTACTCACTGCATAGGCGATGTCAGGTCTAATAAAAGCAAGATATTGAAGACTTCTAATGAGGACACGATATTCTGTTGCATTAGGAAGAAGAGTACCAAAACGAAGAATAAGTTTTGGATTTGTAACCATTGGTGTGGTGACAGACTTTGCATCGAGCATCTTGTAGGACAGAAGAAGATCCAAAATATACCTTCGTTGTGTGAGGTGTAAGCCTTGTGATGTTCTGTGGGCTTCAATACCAAGAAAATAATTCAAGTCTTCAGGATCCTTGACAAAAAAACGTGCTGCAAGAGAGTTGAGGGTCTTGTGTAGTAGACTGTGATTGTTACCGGTGATGATTATATCATCCACATAGATGAGAATGTAGAGGAGATTGGAGCCACGCTTGAGAATAAATAGTGATGCATCGGCAAGGGAGTTAACAAACCCAGAGGAGATGAGAAAATTGCTGAGTTCTTGGTATCAAGCTCGTGGTGCTTGTTTTAAGCCATATAGTGCTTTGTGTAAACGACATACATGGTGAGGTCGAGTGGCATCAACGAATCCTGGAGGCTGTGTGCAGTAGACTTCCTTTGTCAATGATCTTTGTAAAAACGCGTTATTCACATCCAATTGCTTAATAGGTCATGAGCAACTGGCGGCTACATCCAAGACTAGACAAATGGTTGTTGATTTGATAACTGGGCTGAAAGTCTCCGTGAAATTGATGCCACGCCTTTGAGTATATCCTTTCGCGACAAGCCGAGCTTTGTAAATGCGAATGGAGCCATTAGGAGCGTATTTTAGTGTGAATATCTATCTGCAGTCAACATAATTTTGATTAAGAGGGCAAGGAACAAGAGAGTAACTATTGTTGCCGATGATAGAATTGAATTCATCGGAAGCAGCTTGTCGCCATCGGGGGTCCGTGAGAGCTTGATTGATGGTTTTCGGGATTGGATCGAGAGACTTGGTAGTAGCGATTGAGGCGTTTTAGGATTTGGTTAAAAATTCCTTCTTTTGCTTTTGTTGCCATTTTGTGTTGGTTATTGGGTGGTATGGCCACTGGTTTAATCGGTTTGGGATTTTTTTGAGGCGGAGGTATGGGTCGGGGAGGAGAATCAATAGGAGATGATATTATTAGACTTGTTGAAGGTGGGCTGTTAAAGGTGTTGGGCCGTTGGTGAAGAATGGGCCTGGTTAGTTAAATTTGGTAGAGACAAAGTATTGTCGTTTTGTCGTGGTGAGAAGAAAGATGAGTCTGCGATATCTAGAGTAGAAGATGGTGATGATAATGGGTCTTCCAGCGTGATATCGTCATTGGCGACCGGTTCTGATTCCGACGAAGAAGAGGGTGATTCAGTAGTGGGTGAAGATGTCTCGGCGTTTTGAGAATCGTGGGCCGACAACGGAGTTATTGTTGGCGTTGCGAGTGACAGAGGATTCGACAAAATTGGGCTGAGTCGATGAAGACCGAGATCTGGAAGACAAAGTAGAGGAATTTGAGAGAAGGGACGACCATGGATGAATCGGAACTGTACAATATGGTGATGTCATGGAGGAAGAAGCGATTGGAGTTGAATTAGGTGAAGATGACAGAAGAAGAGAGGTGTAAGGAAAACTCTGTTCATCGAAACGTATATGACGAGAAACATGGAGACGATTGTGTAGTGGGTCAAAGCAAAGGTAAGCGCTCTGAGTTAAGGAGTATCTGAGAAACACACAAGGACTGGACCGAGATTCTAGTTTGTGAGATCGATAAGGACGAAGCCAAGAGAAGCAGAGGCAACCAAAGATCCTCAGTTTAGAGTAATTGGCCTCAGTTTGAAAAAGATGGTGGTATGGAGAGGTAAGAGACAGGACTGGTGTTGGCATTCGATTGATAAGGTATACTATAGTAGAGAAAGCGTAGGACCAGAAAGTATTCAGAGGATTAGCATGATGAAGAAGCGATAAATCGGTTTCAACAATATGTCGATGGCGTCGCTCAGCCAATCAATTCTGTTCCGGCGTATGAGGAGGAGTGGTGAGATGCGTAATCCCGGAAGTAGATAGAACATAAGGCAATAAATTCTCCTCCGTTGTCTGAGAAGAGAGTTTGAATTTTGGTTTGGAACCTATTTTCAGTGAGAGCTTTGAAGCGAATGTATGTTTCTTTGACATCCGATTTGAGTTTGAGAGGATAGAACCACATATAGCGAGTGAAGTGTTCTACAAAAAGGAGATAGTGTTTGTAATTATCAGTAGAGACAACAGGAGATGTCCAAAGATCAGTATAGAGGACTTGGAGAGGTCGGAAGAAGAAATAGAATTGTGTGAAAAGGCAAGCTTGTGACTTTTATTAGTGAGGCAATTAACACAAGACAGAGATTGATTTAAAGCTTCAAAACAAGGTAAAGAGTAGCGAGAGATTATGGTTTTGAGAATGGAGAAAGAGGGGTGGCCTAGACGTGAGTGTCAATCAGATACAGATGTTTTGATGGTCAAAGCTGATAGATAGGTGACAGGTTTGGAGATTGGCCACTCATAGAGATCGTCTTTAGTACGCCCTTGGAGTAATAGATCCCCCAAGATCAGATCCTTGACCTAAAAATGAGCAGGGAAGAATTCCACCGAAATGTTATTAGTAGTACACAAGCGTGATACAGAGAAAAGATTCTTTGTGATTTCTGGCACATAAAGGACAATAGTAAGAGATAATGGTTTAGATTCAGAGAGAAGGGAGGCAGAGCCCGTGTGAGGGATAGGAAGTGTATTGCCGTTGCCAAAAATGACCTCTTCGCGACCATGATAAGGTCGATGAAGAGACAAGTTGGCAAAATCTGAGGTGATATGGTGAGTAGAACCAGTGTCTAATACCCATGGAGTCTATCCTGTAGTGGTGAGATGAGCACGGGGTTGCCAGGAGTTGGGAGGATAAGGTGGAGTAGGTAATAACGGTCCTTAAGAAGACTGAGAAGACGTACGATTCTGGAAGCAGCGTTTGGCGAAGTGTCTCTAGACACCACAAAGTTGACAATGATCAAGGTAGGGACGAGGAGCACGTGAAGTTGAATTGTTCCAAGATTGTTGTGGTCGTGGAATTGACTTTCGTGGCTGATGAGAGCGATTGTTGGCATAGTTGTCAGTGATGGGAAGTGAGGAGAGAGGCGATGATGTGAGCAATTTTGCTTCGTGATTGAGTAACTTTTCATGAAGCTTCGTAAGGGTAGGAGGAACTTCTAGGCCTTCTGTTTGGTCAACAATGGATTTGTAGTCTTCGGCGAGGCCTTGAAGAACATAGTCAATCTGATCTTCATGATCAATCAATTTTCCAAGGAGTGCGAGTTGGTCAAATCTTGTGGTAAGTCCTTGCATATACTCATGAATTGTCTTTGTGCCTTTGCTCCATTGCTTGAGTTGATGTTGGAGTTATTTGATGTGTCCACGGCTAGGTTTTGCATAAAGAGAGGTAAGAATGGACCAGATATCCGCAGCGGTTGTCGCACGAGAGACAAGAGGTTGTACGGAAAGAGAGATGGCTCCAAGTAAGGCGTTAAAAATTAGCTTATCTTGTCGTTTCCACAAGACATAATTAGGGTTGACGGTTTCAGTGCCATTGACTGCGATTGTTGGATGTGGTTTTTGTGCAGATTCGTCAATGTAAGTAGCCAAATCGTATCTGTCGGGAAGAGCATGGATTTGGCAATTCCACATTAGGTGATTGTCGGTGGAGAGTTTGGTAATATTGGTCATGTTGATGTTGAGAAGAGATTGTGGATGGAGAGAGGCAGTATCAGTAGAGATGGTGACACCAGGAGGGATTGAGGTACTATCATTGGAGCCAGACATGATAAATAGACGAAGAAGAAGCGAGAGAAAGACAACAAGACGAAGAAGAAGAAACTAAAAAGAAAGAATTTAAAGTGTAGGAGCGTTCTGCTCTGATACCATATATAGAAAGAGATAATACTTGTATATTAAGATTGTGAGCATTGTACAAATATATAGTAGTGACAGAGAGATATTACAGGAGTGATTACAGAAATAATTACAGAGATCAAGAGGAGAGATTGACGTGATTGTAAATGAGTATGATTGATACTCTTTTCCTTAATATATTCTACCAATTCTCTTTAATTACTAGTTAC